TGAACATCCAAAAATTAGACAGCAGCAAATCCACCGAAAACAAAAACGAGATTTTGTTCAAATAATTGCATATCTTTTCAAAAAAATTTTAATTACATAATTTTTTTTTGGCCTTTTACTAATAAAATCTATCAATATTTTTTAAAAAAATTAATAAAAAATATAATATTTGTTATTATGTTAACTATACTTATTACATTTTAAATTTTTTTAATAAAATATACGACCGTGCACATGCACATTTATTTAATCCTATTTTAATAAATTTATAAAAGCCATATTCTTGGTCGAAAAATTTTGAAATGTAATAATTTTGATTAATAAGACACAAAGAAATATCATATCCTATCCTTAATTAGAACGGTTTTGAAAATTTGTGTTCTTATTTGTACAAATATCTCAAATTAAGTACTCTTTTCATTCAACTTTAATAAATCTAGTTTTTTATTTAAGGTATTTTAATTTAATTATCTATTTTTTATTTTTAAAATATTATTTATTATATTTATTCTTATATTTTTTTTTTAAACGTTTTATCATGGGGCCTGCTCAAAACGTTGCCCCTAAGAAAAAGGATATGAGCCTTACAAGAGTGGCTAGGTTCATATTTATTCTTATTTTATTTTTATTTTAAAATAAAATTACAACATATATTAAATAAGAGATCTTGTTTTAGTAGTATTTAAGTAAAAATAAATATAAAATTTTATTAATAAATTATTATATTTTTATTTTATTAGACAAAAAAATTTATATGTTCTAAAACTAACAAACATAGAATGTCGTTGGTAAGTATTAATCATGGAGTCGACATAATAATTTGTCTCAAGATTTAGTCCACAAGTAACAGCATAAATGCTACATATGTGAAGCTGCATACCTTGACATAGCTATTATTGTTGAATTTAAAAGGGATATCTCATCTGCCAATATCAACACCATAATGTGAATCACAAGATAAAAATACCCAAAATTCAGACATTAATGAGTGTTAGTGTGATACAATTGAGAGATTTTTTCCTCACTTCATGAACAATATACATTATTTTTGGGAAATAAATATTGCGTAATTTCATTAAATATGCCAGCAAATATTTACAAGGACATGGTGCCGATTGTCTGCCCCACAGTATTATATACGCATTCAGAAAGGGAATTAATGAGTTTGGAAGTGTTCAATTCCATGCTTCATGATATTGAGGAAGGTTGTTGATACTAGCATTTATAGCCCCGCAGATGGTTATCAGTACAGGTACTGAGTTTTCTAAATAAAAAAATGCGTCCTGCATTGTAAATTATATTAAAATATAAAATAATATAAATTATTAAATAAAACATAAATTTTTTTTATTAATTTTTAATATTGAATAATCACATTAAATCTGATTAATTCGAAATTGAACTGTATTAAACTTTATTAGAAAAAGTTCTTTCAGTACTTATTTTTTTATTTATAAGATTCGAATTCGAAATTTTATTTAAAAAAATTGAACTTCTTTTACTTAAACCAATAAATTATTAATAAAACGTAAAATTTTTAATATTAAAATTTATTATTTATATAAAATTTTTTATTTTATAATTCAAATGAGAAAATATAAATTTCTTTCTCAATTCCTACAGTCTCTTGAGAGCCTGAAACAGACATGGCAAGGACATGCAGTCCCCACTCCTCAAAGATCTTACAGATATTAATTTGTCGAGGTTTGGGAAATTTTGATCCATAAAGGCTTCGGACAATAACTTTTTTTTTTTTGAACAGGTACAATTTAAAAAGTAAGGGGATGAAAAATAGCATGACATTGTTATGACTTGAACTTGGTAATGCTTGAATCTTTATTCATAATTCTCAGAAAATTAAAGTTCTTCTAAACGAGCAGATTTCAAGGATTGTTTGTTTGCAATCATATCTACCAATTGACATGGATTTTGTTCCACAAGTTCGAGTTACAATTTAGAAAGTAAGGGGGTGGAAAATAACAAGGCATTGCTATGACTTGAACTTGGTAATGCTCGAATCTTTATTCATAATTCTCAGAAAATTAAAGTTCTTCTAAACTAGCAGATTTCTATACATTATAAGGATTGTTTGTTCCCAATCATATCCATCAATTGACATGGATTTTGTTACACAAGTTCGAGTTACAGTAAAGAGGTTGGAAACAAACAGGGAAAGCATAGGACAAAGAAGCTGATTTCAGAAACAATTTTTCCTTGGTCGGCAAATGGTAACCATCCAACAGTAGATAAAAGAAAAAGGACAAAGAGAAGAAATGTTAATGCTAGCATCAACTTGGATAATGGAGACACAAACCATTACGGCTACGGCACCACATTTACAATAAGACCTGGAATTCTGCAGAATAATAAATTTGTAAACAGCAAGCTCTGTTCAATTCATACTGAATATTTACATAGAGTCAAGATTGTCCGGTTCCACTTTAACCTGTTGAAGGCAGACCTTGCAATCCAAATTTCCAACGTGGAAACAACTAAGACAATTCTATAAAGGAATGGGATAAGAAGCTGCCTTCGTATTGATGTCAGATGTTTGACTTAGTTCCCTGTTACTCCACGAAGTATACATCACAACAAATTGTATCACACACTTTCCCCTGCCTAGTGGATGAAGAAGTTAAATAAATAGAACTTCATCAAGGAGTATAGGTACAGCAAGTGTCAAAATTCGACATTGGTCTTGCTTGCATCAAAGATTTTCCTAAACCAATCTAAAGCTTACTGCAATAGTACTTCTTCTTCATTCTGCAATATCTTGAGCTGTCTTTTTGCGTATATTGTGAAGATAACTGTAGTTGCTACTGTTGCACAGAAACCAAGAACAGTGAACACAATCTGAGGGGCTGAAAGAACGTGGTGCTCATGTGAAGCATCTGCCAGAGTCCGTATTAGGATCCCACTACAACAACCAAGATGCATAAGAGGTCAATCATCTATGAACCACTGTAAATAATCAACATTTAGAGTGCTTCACCATACATGACAGACTCTATTTTGCATAAAGGAAAATTTTGGGAAAGAATGATCAAATGCTGGACTAAAGGAAAAGAAATAAGAATGTCCACTGAAACAGTAAGTGGTTCCTTTCTAATACTTTCTGTCAATGGATGCTAGACTATTTCCCTAGTTTCTCATAAGCATGGATAGTCTGTGCATAAGTCAGAACAACACAAAGACTAGTTAATGGATATAATTAGATTTCCCAACAAAACTTGCACATGCCGTGGTGAACCATGACACATGCTTGTAAAACCACCGTCGTGCAGGTGCAGGCATGCCATGCATTTCCCAAAGTTTATATGCAAACTAAATTGCACAAACATCACAGACATGTAAGAACTAAATCGAAAAGAAAAGCTTAACAACTCACAAAGGGGAGGAACAGAGATCTTACGTGTAGATTGCCACAAAAACTTCAGGCACCAATCCAACCAACGACCCCAAGATGTACGGACCATATCTAACATTTGTTGCCACTGCACAGTAATTATAAATGATATATGGGAATGGAGAAATCCGGATTAGAGTTACAGCCTTAAACTGATGAAACCAATTTCCTTCACCAGCTGCTCTTAAAATGGCAGCTCTCTTAGGATATTTTTCTAACCAGCCCTGCATAAAAAAGTAAACTATATGTTATGAAAATAGTACCATAAAGAAAACTATATGTTTTAACTGCCCCTTTTTTTTTTTTTTAATGCTAAAGTAGTTGAACAAAGGGAGAAGGATGGCAGACTATCGGTTTGTATCCATGTAATATGTCATATTGTCATATCATAAAACCCAGTACCCACCAGAGACCAGACAATCAGATGATTGGCTATCTCAAGAATATAGTTAGAAAACACACAAATGAACAGAACCTCATCCTGAGCCCAACAACACACAGAATACCTTCATACATGCAGATAGAAATCCATAAAGTAAAGAAATGTAAACAAGATACGGGAACAAGAAACACACTTGAATTCTATGAAGGAACACGGAGCCAATTAAGTATGGAAGTGATATGCCCACAGCTGCTGCAGATATAATTAGTAAAAATCCAAATCCATAACCAAATGTCATCCCAGCCACCCACATAGAAGGCGATGATGGCAGAAGAAATGTGGGAAACAATGCTACAGAAGCAAAGACCAGAACTGCCAGCACTGGTGTGCTAAATGTTCTCCTCTCCCAATTTATGATTGGGATTACCTCCTGCATCAATCATATTAGCAGTGAGGCCCAGCAGAAAGCAAATAACATGAAAGCAAAAGGATTTAAGCAGTTCAACCAAAGACAAAGTACATCATGGCTCTTCTAGTGCAAGGAGAATGCAAATTTTAAGCTAATCATGATGTTGAAGTTTGTTGAGCAATAGATATCACACATCAGCAGACTAAGATGTTCACATATATATAATTTTTTTTTATCAGAAATAACTACAGATGATTAGTTCTTAGAAATTATTGTTGTGTTAAACCATGATTGAACAAATACGAGCACCATCACTGCTAAACTTCTTCACAGTGAAGTGCAAACATAATCAGCTTGTTTTGCTGTTTACATTTTGAAAACTAAATATGGGAATGAATCTATTCTGGCCAGATAGCATGCTACAGCCAGAGATGGATGCATGTGTAAACAAAATGAATAAATCTTCTGGTTCACAAGCACCAAAGAATATATAAGTAAAAGCAAAGATCATGATACAAGACGTGTTGCAAAATGCAAACCATACTACAATAATAATGTTCCTTGCCACATACCAATCACATACACAAATCAATTCAATAAACCTCAGACAGAAAAAAGCATGATCACCTTAAACTCATCGTTATGGTCACAATCACAGACCAATAATATGAAATAATAACTAGAAAGCGTATTCCATCTAAAAAAAAAAAAATCAACCACACCAATGACTAAAGTTGAATCCGTTATAAAAGCAAAATAATCACTTCTAATTTCATATAAACATATTAAAAATCACCCCTTGACATCGCAATTCATAAAAAAAGGGATAAATTGCTCGAAATACAAGATATGAAGAAGAAAACCAACCTTGTCCATGAAAAAGGGTCCAACCCATTTGAGGAAAACAACGGCCAACAAAGCTAAAATCACAAACAACAGAACCAATTTGAGCCAGTACCAGACGGCCCCTCTCCATCCAGAAGAGAAAGCAGGCCCCTTTAAACACAAACCCTCTCCTTCCGCTTCACATTCCTCCAATAATCTCTCCCTCAACTTGGCACACCCCTCTTTGCAATCAGCAGAGTCACCCTCCACTCTCAGCGTCAGCTCCGGTACCACCTTATCCCCTCCATTCTCATCTTCCTCATAATAGGTCATTGAAATCAATATAAAAACCCCCCCAAATGTCCGCCTCGGTTCTTAACCGAATCGGAAGACAGAATGTGGAAAACAAGAATCAGGGGATGGAGGAAACCGAATTTCCGTAAGAGAGGAGGGAGGGATGGAGAAGAGTGGCCGATGAAGGCAGACAATCGGAGAAACGATGCAAGCAAAGGCAATCGTTCCGGTTATGATTTCCTTAAGAAAATCGAAAAAAATAATAATAATAACAATAAATTAATTCTCCTAGCGAGTGAACTCACTGAGATCAAATAAAAACGACACCGTTTCCTTTTTCCGACGACACGTGGCTTGAAACATGGGCTGTTAGATCCGTGTAATTGGTTTGTCGTTACTAAACCGTCACTGGGGGTAAAGTTAACCAAGTTTCTTTTAGTGAGTTGGTGAGTTACAATACCGAGTTGACTCGTTCAAAATTATTGGATTTTAATTTAATTTTTTTAATGAGGATAATTGGACGGTGACTTAAAGCGAAAAAATAATAAAGGGTGAAAATAAAAAAAAAATTTATAAATAAATAAATATCATTTCATGAGATAAATTTAATTTTAGATTAATATTTTGAGATTAATAATTAAAAATTAATTTTTTAAATATATTATATTAATATAAAAATGTATTTTTAAAATTAATTAATGAATAATTAATTTTAAAATATATAAAAATTGAAAAACAAAAATAGTGTCGGTAAATAAATAAAAAAAATAAAAGAAAGGGTGGGGACTGGTTTTGTGGGCGGTGGTGTGTGGGTATTTTTTAACATGGTGCAATGAGAACACAACGCGTGTGACATATGGAGCTGGCGTCGTCAATTGAGAAGGAAACAGAGCAATCGTATTCTACTTTCATTGTTTAAAAAAAAGGCAATTTAGGAAAAGAGGGGAAGCAACTGTGGAACATGCTTCAAGGATGTCAATCCCTGCTGGAGTGGCTTGGGGAGAATAATATCCTCCATTATGTGTATATATGTATTAGGTATGCCTTAGAAGTTTAGTATATGTATCTACCAATCATGTTTTTATGAATAACAAATGTAAAGTTCAAAATAAAACGAAATGAGATTATGATTGGTTAAAGTCAAAGTTTTTAATTTTGATTACGTTTGTAAGAACCCCAACATTAAATATACCAAGAATGATTTGTACTTGTATGTCAAAGGATAAGATGCATGTTCTTGTGTGTTAAAAGAATAATAATTACACAAATGCTTTAATTAATTCAATAATAATATTTTTTTTATTAAAAATAAAATATTTTGAATTTGAATTACATAATATACAGATGTGATAAGATATGAAATAAGAGAAAATTATTTTTTATTGTGCAATTAAAAAAAATAATTGTAAATTTGATAAAAAAGAAAAGAAAAGAAAGAGGAAACATTATTATAAGAAATTCGTTGATTAATTTCATAGAATGGTAAGTATTGAGTTGGTTTTGATCAACCCATTAGATCATGCACTTGATATGTGCTTTTGGCATGGTGCATCGTGCAAGAAAGCACTTTGTGTTAAGTGTTAACTAGTATGGCGGAAATTGCACTTATTTATTTGAACTATGTACACTTAACATCTTAAATGACAATAATGTATACTTAATTATGAAAAACCATCACTCATGTAGTGTGGTAATAGAATTATTTATATTTTTAATTATATGTTTAAAATTCAAATATGTATATATAAAAAAATTAAAAAATATGTTTAAATTTTTTAGTATAAGTAAATATCATCTTGTAGATTTGATTTAAGATTAAATCTTATATCAATATTTGAAAAAATTAATTTTTTTAAATATATTTACCTAAAAACACTATAATAGTAAATAATAGAAAAATATATTTAGTCTTCGAATAATTAAATATTGAGAATGAGTATTTTTAACTATTAATTTATATATTATTTAAAGTTATTTAAGAGCTTAAACGCACCTTTCTAAAACTAGATGAGGGTAAAGTGCAGTTTTCTATGAATTAAGGGTTAAGTGCAATTTTCTCAAACTATGTGGGGCTAAGTAGAATTTACTTTCTTTATTTGCAAGACCACATCCTTGTTTAAAACTTATCACCAAATACCCCCCAACCATTTAAGCTTCTTCTAAATTACCCCATGGAGAAGCTAGCAGTCCCTTCAACAATGGCTATCACCAGCATTCTATGCTCTCAAAAACCGCTTTTGAAGCATTCCCATTCCTCTCCAAAGTTCAATACAGCTAGCAAGTCTCATAAAACTCGATTCCCTGCACCCAAACCCGTTGCGAGCCTACTAGGGTCCGGCTTGGTCCTGACCCTCGCGGGCTCTGCTTCGGCTACCGAATTACCTCAGTTGCTGTCTTCTCTGCAACTCACTGAACCCGCCAATGCCTTGTCTCTGCCCACTTGGGCTATCCACGTATCCAGTGTTGTTGAATGGTGAGTTTTTCTTCATGGGCATTTCGACCTATCTTCTTGTTTTCTTTGTGTTCATCTTTTTCTTTAATTTATTGATGATATGATAGTAATCTATTGAAAAAGGATAATCGCAATGGCTTTGGTGTGGGAATATGGAGAGAAATCTGGTTTTGATTCATGGAAGGGTCTCTCTTGGGGAATGGTGAGTAGTTCTTATCAATTTTGCAAGTTTTAACATTGTTATTTGGTGGCTTACTGGTTAATTTATTGGATTGGCCTGATATTCTTCTATTTACTGATTTCTGGGGTTCAATTGAGTTGCATGTTTAACAATCCACTGCTTAGGTCTGAGATTTTTTTTCCCCCTAATATACTTGTTTGATTAGGTACCTTTACTTGGTGGAGCATTTTGTGCATGTACGTGGCATTTCTTTTACAATTCTGAGTCACTTGAGGTAAG